ATAGGGAGTGGGGTGGTTATGTAACTACCCCCTCCTCCTAGGTGAAGGACACCTGTCCCTCCCACTTAAAGAGAGGGAACTCCCCACTTAAAGAGAGAGAACTCCCATACGGGATACTTTTTTATAATTTTAATGATTTGGCTAGTAGACTAGCTAGCCCACTTATTACAAATTATTTGAATAAAAAAAATGACTTCAACAACGCAATACACCAGCATCCCATCCATTTTCCAACCTGCCATGTATACTAGCTATCACTTCATGCCACAACCACTCCCTTTCTAATGGACCACCTCCACAATCATTTTTCTAAGAGAGCTTTATTCTTGAGAATTAGCCTTCCTAAACCCTGTCCACCCTCCTCTTTACTCCTACAAACTATTTCCTAGTCAATTAAGTTATCCCTTTTACCTCCCTAGCTCCCAAAGAAAATTTCTCAATAATCTCCCCAACTTCTTAGCCTCCCTAACAAGAATCCTAAAAAATGAGAAATAATAAACCAGCAGATTTTCTAGTGTGGCTCTCAGTAAGGTTACTCTACCCCCTAATGAGATATAGTTCTTTTTCCAAGAAGCCAATCTTTTCTCAAACTTTTCCAAAACTAGAGTCCAAAAACTACTCTCCTTTGGGTTGGCACCTAGAGGGAGACCTAGGTACTACAAGGGCCAAGAAGAAATGGGACAACCTAGACACTCCGCCACAGGCTCAATATCCCTCTCATCCATATTAACTCCCACCACACAATTCTTGTCCAGGTTTATCTTCAAGTTGGAAACATTCTCAAAGGGCTTTAGCATAGTTTTGAGATTCCTCACTTTTCGTCTGTCACCCCCATCATAGAAAATTATAAAGTCATCGGAAAATTGTAGGTGAGTCACCCGAACATTGTTTTAATTGACGAAATTAACGAAGGATTAAAGGCAAAACTAAGCCTATGGAAAAATGTGTTAGAAACAAGAGGTTATCAAGTAAGATGATGAAACTAACGAAGGATTAAAGGAAAAAATAAGCGAATCGAAGAGACACAGAAGTAGAGAAAGAGGGAAAAGAAAAGGCGAAAGCTCACGAGAGAGAAGAGTTGCAGAGGGAGAAAATGTTAGGAAGAGGGAAGAGAGGTAAAGGATTGAGAAAGGGCGGAGCGAAGAGGCATCATAAGGTGTTGGGGGATAACATCCAAGGTATCACCAAGACGACTATTCGGTGCTGGGGGATAACATCCAAGGCATCGTAACACGTCGAGCATATCAGTGGTCTCATCTACGAGGATACTGGTGGGGTTCTCAAGATCTTCCTAGAGAACATCATTCGTGATGCTATTACCTACAATGAGCACGCTCGCCAGAAGACCGTCACTACCATGGATGAAGATTTTCTTTTTTTTTCTGGTCTTATGTCTCTTATGGGCATTTGTTAATACAAAGGGAACCAGGTTTTTTGCTCTTCCTTGTTTCTTTCTCATTGGTGGAGCTGATTATATTCTATATTCCATGGGTGATTCAAGGAAAATACTAGCTTTGTTCCTCTTATTCTTCAAAAATAATAATAATAATAACAATAATAAGATTATGGACAAATGTGTTAGAAACAAGAGGTTATCAAGTAAAACTATAACAAAATATATGGCATGTAAATTTAATAACAATGGGAGTGCAAATTAGGGTATATGTTATGTGACTAATTACACATAACAAGATGGGATGCTTCAAGGGATCCCAAAACCTCCAAATACGTTCAAGCAACATATCAATAGTATTGGGTAGAAAATCACGCTACCAATTTCACTAATCAAATGGGATTAAATAGCCTACTACAACTAAACTCCACATCCATGCAACACTACAAAGTAGCAAACTAATTAACTGACTTTAATAGACACTTAGTAAACCCATGTCCCATACACTCCTAACTTATCATAACTGCATGCTAATCCAGTGACTTTTTAACCAGCTAGATGGGCCCACCTGTCAGCCCAATTTAGTGGATTCTTTTGCATTTGGAGAACTGGAACAAAATAGTTAGGATTGGAGACCAAGAGATAACTCAATGTGACCTTTTTCAATACCTTGAAGTCAATAATTCATAACAATAGAGAGATTGAAGAGGATGTCACCCATAGAATCAGAGCATGCTGGGCAAAATGGAGGAATGCATCTGGAGTTTTATGTAATAAGCAAAAACCACTTAAATTAAAAGGAAAATTCTATAAAACAGTTGCGAGGTCAGCTACGTTTTATGGAGCAAAGTGTTGGGAAATCAAGAAGCACATCCAAAAATAAGTGTGGCAGAAATGTGTATGCTGAGATGGATGATTGGAAAAACTAGAATGGATAGGATCAGAAACAAGTCATTTTAGGAACTTAGGAGTAGCTTCAATAGGTGATAAAATGAGAAAAGTAGACTAAGACGGTTTGGCCATGTGCATAGAAGACCAAAATGAAGATGAGTAGAATAGTACGAAATGATTTAAGCGCCATTAAAGGACTGTCAAAATAGGATTCATGTAGCTAACCCCATATAGTTGGGATAAGGCTTATATGATGATGGTGATGATTTTGTACCAAGAGAAAGTAAATAATAATGAAGTTTTCATATGAAGACATATTGCACAATTAATTTTTTCAAGCAATACCACTTTCAAATTTTTAATCATAGATTTAAATTCCATACAGAGTATAATCAATTCCATTCAGAAAAGCAGCAAGACATTTTTAAATCAAGAACCAGAACAAATAAGAACGGCAACAATTCAGTAGTATACGTATCCAATAATGATAAGGTGCAAGCAATTGCCTTTTAATTACTTAAGAGGGCTATCATGTGGGAAATCTCCCCTGCATAAGTAGCAATCGTCAAAGAAACAAGTTACAATAAAAAGAAAATAGACATTACAAAGGGCAGCACAGCTTTGACATTCCCGATCACATCTACAGCATAGAAAACGGAAGCCATATAGAGGTATAAATATACTTGTTTTTGTAAGGATACATATATGAATTAGGTGGATCAAATTAAGAAGCAAAGTGAATTCTTCTTCTTATTCCCTCAATAAATTAACGAATACTCTGATTGGGTTTTTTTCTTACTTTAAGATTTGACTAGGTTTTTCAAATATGAAGATAGACACTTACGGAGCCACATAGTTCTTGACGAGAATGAAATAGATTCTCCAAAATTCTGTCTCCTTCAAATGGCGAGGACAAAGAACATATCTAAGTTGCGAAATTTCCTGGAAGAACAATAAACACAGGGTTAACAGAAAGAAGAATCTCACTTCCCAATCCCTTTCGTATACATAAGTCAAAAGAACTACAGCAGGCAATGAAAGAGATACAATCAAAGTCCAGACCTCCGAGAATTGAGCACTCTCAATTAAGCAGTAAAACCCCAATTCAAAAAAAAAAAAAAAAAAGGCCCAGAAAAGATAATGAAACAGAAAAACAGAACAGATAGAACCAATGTAAAGAGACTAACAGCATCACCAACATCATCACCAGTACCTTTACTTTGGAAAGAACAAGAGTAGCATGCTGCTCCTGCCATTCAGAGAGATCCTTCCGAACATTGGCGGATGTCGTCGGACAATCATCGCCGGTGGTGGTTCCCTGATCATCTGTCTGCATCAACTCAGTTACATCTACTTTTTATCGCTCACTCCAAATAAGAAGTTCATTTTGAGGACCACAAACTCTCGATGATAAACGAAAAATTGGCCAAAAGAAAACCTTCCCGAAAGAAAAACTTGTTAGTCTTACAGAAAGGCAGAAAGTTACCTGGGATATGGAAGTTCTTGAAGGTATCGAGAGTGAAGGACTTGACAAAGTCCCTAAACTGTTCCGTCACTCCGAACTGTTCTTCTTCCTGCTCTCCATGTTTCCTAGCATTCTCGCGATGGGTAGGAGAAGAAACAGAGATTTGTGATTTGTTCTTCTTCCTCCACAGAGAACGTCGAAACCATGAACCCAAGTCCATCTCTTCACAGTTTAACGGGCAAGCGATCCAGAGAGAGAGAGAGAAACCTGAAAGAACGGAACGGAGGTTGTTCGTAGCTCGAGGACCTTCTGGAGGCCCACGAGGATTATAACTGCTGGGCTTTTCTTTTTTTTTTTTTTTTTTGGTAAATTACAAATACTTAATATTTTTTTAATCCCCATATTATCCTTGTAATAACTATTCAGATAAAAACACTATTTATCTTCCTCAACTTCGTAATACACAAACAGCGGCAGCAGTCGTAGTTGTTGTAGACGGACCTCGCCAAAAATACGTAACTCCCTTTACCTACAATGTCAAATGATCAAGTGTAAATAAAATCTCAAGATGGATTGAAAGCAATTTCGCAGAGCAGAGATGAGCAAATTTTCAATGATTTAATATAGAAAACCCTAATTTCATAAAAGAAGAGGAGACTTTTATTACTTGCATCGAGATTGACGATGGCGACACTATTGCCGAAATTGCAGGTAGTGTTGGACAAGCCGTTCTTGAGGGCATAATCGTTGAAGGCATAGGAGGCCATAGACTAGATATCCTGGGGATTGTAACAAGGACCGCCTTGCTGTAGAGCCCTGCAATCGATGCCTCCCGCTCCGCAATCCCAACCCAGAAATGTCTGCAAAGTCAAATCTTCGGTGTTGTTCTTCGCTGTGCACTAGTACTTGGTAGTGTCAGAGCCACCGTTGTCGACCTTCAATTCAAAATTGGGGTTCGAAGGCGATGCGAACGAGGGGCACTAAGATGGGGTGGTAATGAGGATGAGCGAGACGAGAAGAGAAGCATGAAATCGAAAGGTCACAGCCATTGGAAGGGATCTTATAGCCAGCCAAAGAGTGTGAACTGTGAAGGAATAGAGGCATTTGACAAGGTTTTCTTTGATTTTTATATGAAGAGAGAGAGAGAAAGGCTCCCCCAAAGCAAGGCGGATTCTTCAATGGAGAGAAGAGAATTAACAAAACAGATAAAAGGGAGTGTCTTCTCCCACTTTGTCACCAACTTTCTTTTGTTTGCCACCTAGTTTCGCTTGGTTTGTTTATCTCTCTCACCCACACATTGAGAGAGAGAGATGCAATCTCAACGAATCAGTCCAACAGAGACACCTTATTCTCCTTGATATCGGGAAGAAGAAAGGGGAGGAGAGAAAGGGGAAGGGGAAGAAGAGAGATCGGGAGAGAGAGAGAGAGGACTTTGGAAGTCCACAGTCGGGGAAGATGAATAGTGTTTTTCACCTAATAGTTATTACAAGGGTAGTATGGGGATTAAAAAATATTGCAACGATGGATTTCAAGGGAAGACTAACGGAGGGGGGTCTTTGTCTCACAGTCATAGTACAGGGGGATCTTTGTCGCAAAATAAAGTACAAGGGGTCTTTGTCACAGACCTCATAGTACAGGGGGTCTTTGTAATTTACCCTTTTATGAAAAAAAGACGAGCTACACAAGCCAGGGTAGGTCTTCCCTTAAATCAGCATCACAAATAAAACTAAGATCACAAGACATAAAATCCTGCTTTCATAACTATTATGTGCTTTATAGGCTAACCAATCAGCCGCTTGATTCGCTTCCCAATATGTATGCTTGAATTTGATGTCCAAATTGAAGAAACCAACAAGATTTAGGCATTCCTTGGTGATGCATTCCAATCTCCATGTGGGGATGATTCTATCATTGAGGCAGCCGATGGCAATCTTTGAGTCTCCTTCGGTGGTGATCTATTACCAGTCCCTGTAATTGCATGCAACATTAATAGCTTCCCAAGCTGTCCACACTTCAGCAAGGTTAATCATTGCGACATCAATCATAAGGGCTTTGGTTTCAAGGACTTTGCCTTGATGGTTTCTAGCAATGCACCCAATGGCACAGTTTCCATTATTTGAGCAGGTAGCATAAAAGTTAATCTTAATGCAATTAGGCTTAGGTTTGAACCACTCAACATGAGTCCAAGACTTAATATTGATGGTCCCATTACAAGGAGAGGTTTCTTTTATTTCATTCCAGTAAACCATTGCTCTATTCATAATAACCTAAACATTACTAGATTTTCAATTAAAATATTTATCATTCCTGTTCTTCCAGATGAACCAAAGAATACAAACAAATTTTTCTCTTATGAATTTATCATTGAAGGATAAATTTAGGTTACCTAAACCCGACCACCATTGTTTTAAATAACATCAAAGGTTTTAAGAGGAGGAAAAGAAAATTTTTAATTTTCAGGGGGGGGTCAAGAGATTCCAAATTTTTTTTGGTAATTATTTGATAAACAATCCCCCCCCCCCCCCCCCCACCTAACACAGTACTCTTCAATAATAAATCATTTAAACCGAAAATTTTCCATCCAAAGTAAATTCCCACACTCTCTTTATCTTTCATATCCTCATGAGAAATCAAAATTGGTTTAATAAGTTGCCAAATCTGAGGGAAGGCAATCGAATTAATGACATCCTCTTTCCATACCCTTTTTTCTTGGTCGATCACCCTACTTACTAGCATATCCAAATTGCTTACCTCAATCCGATTCTCATAATCTAAAAGTGGGCCATTGCCAGCCCAAGGATCCTTCCAAAAATAAACCTTATTCCCATTTCCGATCCTCCACATGGATCCCCTTTTAATCATATCTCTTGTGCCCAGGCCCAAGAACCACCTTTTTTGTATTGGCCTCCCAAGAAATCGTTTTTATTTAGATATTTGCTTGAAACCACTCTAACCCATAAGTTTTCTTAACAATTAATAATTTTCCAACCCAACTTAGCTAGAAGAGCTCTATTAGCCCATTTTAGGTTATTAACTCCTAATCCACCCCACATTTTGGAAGTACAAACTCTACTCCACTTAACTAAATGGATCGGGTTTTAACTTCTTGAATTTGACCATAAAAAATCCTTTTGGGATTTCTCCAAATCATCAATAACATTATTTGGAATTTTAAAGGACTGCATAACAAATTAAGGAACTATGGAGGCAACAGAATTAATTAAAGTCAATTTTCCTACTAGAGAAAGAGAGTTTTTTTTTTCCAACCTACAAGCTTGTTGGACATTTTTTCTTTGAGGTATTTGAAAGCTTCCTTAGAAACCCTACCATCAATGATGGGAGCACCAAGATAAGTTTTATTTTTACTCCCTATGGGAATCTTAAGAAATTTGGCCATAATTTTCCGAAATTGATTAGGGATGTTTTTAAAAAAAGTTATGGCCAATTTAAGGTAATTAGGAAGTTGACCAGAAGCTTTAGCAAAATTATCCAAAATCTCCTTGATTTTGATGTAGGCATTGATAGAGGCATTAGCAAAGATAATACAATCATTCACAAATTGAAGAATGGGAATGGTTGGACCCCCCTAGAGGCTTTACACCCCACAACTGCTGGGCTTTTTTAATTAGAGGATTTGAGCTACATTTGGTAGTACTTATATTAAGAGTTTATTATTTATTGGACTTTTTTGATATAGAGTTTTTCCGGGGGTAGTACGTTCCCACAAATCACTAGAACATATGAAAGCTAAAGAACGGGTAAGATCACAAAGGTTAAGAGTGTATATTGTGTGCTTCCAATATAGACTAGCAATCGAATAGATACCTCCACTAATACAAGAAGTATCAAAATTTATTTTTATGATTCCATGCACAAGGGGATGCCACGAAATAGGTGTCTAAAGTCTTAACAATTTTATTCATACTAGGATTGTTAATTGCTTCATAGTTTTCTAAAAAAGGGAAAATGCCCAATTAGTACCTTGTACTTTGGGCCTAATGTCACTTTGGTCCCCGAACTTTAAAATGTAACAATTCATTACCCGAACTTTCAAAACATGCCAATCCAATACTTGCTATTAACCAACCCAACCCATTAACTAGCCATTAAGTGCCATTTGAAAAGACACAAATGCCCTTTGAGTGTCATCTAATTCTCTTTATCAACCATCCAAACGTTGACAAAAAATAAACAATCCCAAATCCTTGCCTCTTCTATTCAAGAAAGTTGGGGTCACGTTTGGATGGTTGATAAAGGATTTGGGACTGCTCATTTTTTTTCAACGTTTAAATGGTTGATAAAGAGAATTAGATGACACTCGAAGGGCATTTGTGTCTTTTCAAATGCCACTTAACTACTGGTTAACAACAGGTAATGGATTGGCACATTTTGAAAATCTGGGTACTGAATTGTCACGTTTTAAAGTTCGAGGGACCAAAGTGGCACTAGACCCAAACTATAGGGTAATAATTGAGAATTTTCCCTTATTAAAAATAACTAGAAGGGGATACAAGTAGTTATTAAATATTTTTTTATTTATATTTTTCCAAATGTATCAAAGGATAAACATACACTTTTCCTTTCTATTCCCCCACCCCCATCCACATAATTTTTACAAATTTTGGACCACCACTCTTTTAATGAGGAGTCCAAGGTATCAGGCCCCTCAATACAACCAGACGTGTTTGCTCTTAGTCCTCACCTCTCCCCATATGCTACAACATCCATCAATATTAAAACCTCACCTTCTAAGAAGGCTTTTCAATGGGAGCTTGTTATTAAGGAGGAAGAGGGATCCTCTCACCAAAAAGCTCACAAAAGACTTCCTCTTCTCATTTCTAAGGCATGTGGTTGGTTATGTTTTAAATTAAATCATCAAAAATATAAGAAGTTAAAATAAAACATTTTTCAAGTTTTAATTGTCTCTAATAGAATCCATTCACTACTCAAATAAAAAAAACCTTCTTAAGTCTTAATTGTTTATAATAAAATCCATTGTTACTCTCTCTCTCTCATATTAAAACAAGGTTGCTCAGGCATACTTCATTTTTTTCTTTTCTTTTGAATTATTCCCTTTTTTAAATGTTATAAATTCCAACTATTAACCAGCTGATGATCGCTCAATTGGTACATCCTTGAGTTGGTTGTAACCAAAATGCAAGATTCAGGGGGAGGGTGTTTTGGGTATGGTGTTGCATTACACAACATCCCCCACGGGAGACATAAGTGATGAAGGGTAATTTGGCCCGACCTCATAACAGGGAGACACGTGGGGGTGACTCGACGTAAGTG